AATCGTAAATAAACATCCTAAGTACTCTCGGAAATAGCGGCTCTTCGGAATCCATATTTATGAATTAATCAATTTTTCTATAAAGAAGCGATGGTTGCGCTGCATCGACAGTGGAAATTTCAGACTGACAAGGAGAGTCGTCAAAAGCTGGAGAGAGATCTATAAAAGAGGCAAATTAGAGAAGCAGTGAAGAAGCTAACAATGAAGGTAATTAAAAGTATTGTTTCATTGTCGTAGACCTTGTGTCAAGTTTATCTATTTCGGGTAAAGTTTCAAATATAACTAATTTTTTTTTGTGAAATACGTTTATCGGTATTTTCATCACACATAGATTACTTTTTTAGGAGCGTTTTTCAAATAATTTTCGATAAGAGCAAACAAAACACTCTTTCTTTTGTATGTTCAAGAGAGAATGCTCTCTTGGTATCTTTTAATATGGGTCACCCCAACCGACAATTTATCCGAGTCATTAGTAGACAGAGGGAGATAACTCAAGGACATAGCTATTCGAGTATTCCTACCGAGGAAATGCAAAAAAAAAATTTAAAATAGCCTGCATGGTCCTCTATTTTTAGTAAGACATACAAAAGAAAGTTTCAAATTTTATCGAGGTATCTCTGCTTGATGCTCCAGTGCATGATTTTTAATAAGTTTTCAAAGTTCATCCTGATCCGGAAGAAGCGAAACCGGGTTCTGTTTTAAATATTTTTACATTTAAAAATGCGGTTCAAAGGTCGTGCCAAAATTTAGCTAGTTTTTAGTTTGACGTTTAGTACGATTTTACCGGTGAGTTATATTTTGATAACAGTCACTAAACGGCTTTTTTATCTCTTAGAGGACATTATCATCAACTGCCACCTTGCTTCTGTGCTTCGTTGTGATGTTCAGTAACGATCATGACATCAATGCTTACATCGTCAGAGGTATCCATAGATGCTTCGAAGTCTGTGAGAATAAATTCTGGGACTGTTTAGCATTCTGCAACATGGACAGCACAGAATTTTGTGAGCGAAGATGCGAAGGAATGTTCTACTACTGCGCTTCGGATTGCCCGCCGTACTAATTGAACTCTTAATGTGCCCCTGAAGCCACTGTTATAAAGACCAATGAATATTTGGGGCGATGAAGAGACAGTGAAGCGAAGACTCACCTTCCCTCGAGTTTTTCTGGTTCAAGGTTTGGGTGGTTTAGCCATTCCTCATTATGCCATATTATTTAACTGAGTACAACGAAGTTATTTCAATGCCACGGATTAAAATGAATCAACATATTTAATTATCAGTGAATTCTGTATTCTGCTGTTACTCAAACGAATGGCCGTAACCGACTAATGTAAATAATTAATCAATTGATCCAAAGCAATAGCTGTTAAATAAAACCTAATTCACTGTCAGCCGTTTTAGCTTCTTCTTTGTCTTTCTAAAACACACATGCACCTACAATTCTCATTTTACTGACCTTATTACCAGGGCGAGATGAGATATGGATCTGAAGACCTTACTGTATTGAAAATAGTTCTTACTTGACCTTGCATTTTTTACTTCCATTTGAACCTTTCGACATATCAGGCGGCTAATTAACTTCAATTTTTTAACAGAAGGGAAATGCTAACATGCTTATAGAGGAAGTGATGATAGCTGTGTTGATGCCTCTCAATCGTTTTTCGGTGCGCAACATGAAAACTGGTAGGGAAGATTACGACACTTCTGCAGGGGAACGGACAATCGACTAGCCTGTGTAGCAGGCGCCGAAATGGGTAGGGGATAGGGAAGAAGGGAAAATGGGAGGGGGATTGGGGAGAGGGAGAGGGGACTCCTTCCCTTTTCCCTTTCTCCCTTCCCCCTCCCCCTCCCCTTTTTGCGCCTGCCACGCAGGCTAACTCTAAAACCATCAACTTCAATTTTTTACGGGGATGATAAGGCTGGCTTGCAAGCCAGACTGTACAAAAATAATTTTCTTACATAGATATTCATTTTATCATACAGAAAATATACATTAGCATAAGACTTTGCGCAACATATATAAGCTAAAAATTCTTGAATGCAGAGGTCCACTTAAAGCGTAAATAAAACCGACTAGTTCCGGGTCTCTAAAAATGTAGAAATGCTAATGCCAGACGTCGCTTGAAGTGGGAATTAAAACAAAACTCAATGCTAGGCTGGCAAAATGGCAAAGGCCTGATTTACAGTCGAACCCCGCTACTTCGAACTCGGTTAATTCGAAGTCCCCGCTATTTCGAAGGAGGATCGAATGCCCTTGGATTTACCCTTCCCCTTTACGCTTCCCCGGTTATTTCGAAGCCCCGCTATTTCGAACTTTTTTCCATTTCCCTTGGGACTTCGAAATAGCGGGGTTCGACTGTATTTGAGGCCAATATTTCGGCTAACAAAATTAGCCTTCCTCAGGGGCCACAGCTTCACTGGAAAAGAATACTAATACATGCTGGAGCCGTTATAGTATTCTTTTTCAGTGTAGCTCTGGCCCTGAGGAAGGCTAATTTTGTTAGCCGAAATACTGGCCTCAAATAAATCAGCCCTTTGCCCTATTAATTGCCAGCCTTGCATTCATTTTTGTTTTATGTACGCTAGACTTCATATTTTTAAATATTAAGAAAGAAAAAAGATGAAAAACGAACAAACAAACAAACAAAACAAAGTACAATAAAAAACAAAAACAAAGCAAAATGCAATATGCGAAGAGGAAAGCCACAAACTGAACTTAAGTTAATTTTTCGCTTTATTAATTAACGCATGAATTTCAACATAATGCCGAAAAAAAGAATAAAGAAAGATATGTCAAGAGGAAAGCTACAAACTAAACTTAAATTATTTTTTCATTTTATCAATTAGCGCATCAACTTCAACGTAGGAGACGTCATATTCTAAAAATTTGAACAGTTTTTCTTTAATAGATACATATGATTGTGGGGAGCACGGGTGGCGCAGTGGTGAGAACACTTGCCTCCCTGCAGTGTGGCCCGGATTCATTCTCGTCCCCAGAGCCACTCGGCTTAATTTGTAACCGACCAAGAAACGACGGGCTCTGGGGACGAGAATAGGCCCGGGTTCAAATCACGGCGTCAAAGCCACGTGTGGGTTGAGTTTGTCGTTGGTTCTCTTCCTTGCCCCGAGAGGTTTTTCACCGGATACTCCGGTTTTCCCCTCTCCTCAAAACCAACACTTCCAACTCACGGACACGTTTAAACGAGTTCATAAAAACTTCTAAGTACTTCGTAGCAAATTACAATTTACAATTTATAATCCCTTGCAAAGCATGCGTAAAAGCAATTATAGCATAAGATGTATGACCTCCGTTTGCTTTGCGTCACCGCACGACCAACGTTGCCGTCAAATTTCATCAGGGTGACAAGGCGATCTCACTTGTCGTTTCATCAATCAATTTCATCATCGTTGCGACTTCGCGATTTTGTCGAAAAAAAACCCCAGCGAGTCCAATTACGATCGATATCGTTCGTAAATGATTCGACTGAAAGATGGGACACACAGGCCACGTCCAACGCTGAGGCGCCTTAACTCAGTTGTTTTTAGTTTAACAGTGTAGACATGGAGAATGGAAATGACGCACGATTTCACACGTTACGCGAAGACGAGCTGTGCCTTTAACATAATCATTCAACATTTGTAGTCTCGAAAAACATTAGGTGATAGGAGGGAAGGGCTCGCTTTCTCGAAGGAAGCCAAAAAAGAAAGTAAACCAGCAAAATAATCCTTACACCAAGAAGACAGAAAACATGAGAGAAAAAAAAATTAAGACAATATAGGAGAAGATATTGACTCATATATAAATGTGATGGCAAACTTAATCCTTGTGAATACGAGAAATTTTTCAGGCAGTAACCAGACTGGCGACTCAGAAGCAAAAAAAATGATGGTCTCAGAAGTAACGCAGTAGCAGTTTTAAGTGGCTTAAAAAGAAAACTGATGGTGTTTTATCCTTTTCTGTGGCCATAGTAACCTATCGTGTCTTTAGAAAATGGCCATATGCGATACTTATTTTTCACTATATAAACTGATAAATAACCGTAATACTTTCCTAGCAAGTGTGTTGGAAAAAGTTTGAAAATGACATTGAGGTGAGACTAAAACTAAGTAAGAAAACTCTTTTTTTTGTTTTCGGGCAGGGAGATTGACGCGGCTTTATCCAGTTCAGTACTAGCTATCCAACAATAAACCGGACTTAAAATTCTGTTGAGTTCAAAACTCGTTTTCATCTCAGGAACAGAAATTAAGCTTTTCGCAAGAGTTATTACTAGAAATGTTATGTCTATTCAAGTTCAGATCACGTAGCGTAAATTATCACCGTCATATATTGGCAACAGCACCTGCTAACGGATTTGGAAGATAATACTTTCAGCCTTGTTATAGCGCTTCTCGCACGAATTACACGGAAAAAGCAATGAATTGACAATAATTCGAATTTTTGATTTCATACCAAAAAAGCGACAGTTTTGTCAAGTAAACAATGTATACTTCCATTATTGAAATTGCTTGATGCTGAAATTTTTGCACCTAATTAAGTATTCCAGTTTTTTAATGATTATAAGCATAGTATTCAGTGGTTACTGACACGATCGATTGCCAATTACCTGCTTTTCGTCTTCAAACGGTTTTGCGCCTTATCAAACATCAGCGATATTTGCAAAATGTTATTTATCAAGTGACCCCAACTGGGGTTATTTTGACCTGGTTAAATGTTTAAGTTTGATTCGATAATTTCATGCAAGGCCCCGTGTTCAGTGAGGTTTTGTCCTGAAGCGTCGGTTACTAATTGCGAAAACAAAGGTTTTCTTTCTTAGAGAAAGGTGTTAATAGGATTTCAACCGGTCTTCGTCTTTTGGATTAACATACTGGAATACATAATACAATTTACAGCGGAGAACCTTTATTCTGTTGTCCGTAAATTTGTTTATATGAGTTAATAAATCCTCTATCTCCGAATAAATATTTCATTAAAGAACGCCGGTAAGGCGTCATGGGCATGCGCTGTAAGCAAAAAGCAAAACACCTGGAAGTTATCCGGAACATTACATGCATGTACATGTACATTACATGGCATGAATTGCAGACTACTCGTGTCATAAGCTGGCGATTCAAAGAATTCGCCTTCGAATGGTTAACGAACGTGCGTTGGGAATCAGGTTTTGTTTGGAATTAATCAGAAGAAGCTCGATGATATCTTATTAAACAACCGGAAGAAAAAATCATGACTACAAGGCATGAAGATTGCTGGCCCTAAATATGCGGTAAATATTCCGTTTTTGTTTTCAGAACGTTGCTTTGATTTTAAAGCTTAAACAGGCACAACATCGTTATTTTATAGCACAGTAACATAACAGAGGCACAAAAAATATAGGCGAATATACAATTAACAGCAGACAGAAGACCAGTTATTTGTGAATGTAATGCACATTGTTGTAGCTCGCAATAGCCTCACATTATAAAAAGTAAACTTCGCAAGTAACCCAGGTATCTAGATGTTTCATTTTAGGCCTTCGTTTTTTCCAGCCAAAATATTCTCGGCGAATTGTGTCGTTAAAAGGACTTCCTCGGTTGATTGTCCGGCTACCAAACGATATGAGATACACTGGTAGCGATTTTTATTAGCCCGCGCCGATTACCCGATTAACATCTATCCGCTTTCAATCAAAACACCAAAAAAATTTTAAAAGAAGAAATAAAATTATGACTTAAATTGGACGAAATAACATTGTTTTGAATTCACTGAGTGTGATGTCGTATTGTGAAGTCAATAAAGGTATACGTATATTTAAATTTTTACTCCACAGATGCGACAGAAACCACCGGTGTCGTATAAGATAAGATTTGAAACTTAGTGCACTGTTTTTTTTTTTTTAATGAAACGTTCCTAAATATGCTTTGGTGATAAAAATTATACCAATGCTGAAATGGTAGCTATTTGTAAAAAAAAAAATACTATCTAGAAAATTGTGTATATAACTAAAATTATATATGATTCAAACACTGGGCGACTAGATCACTTGGAAAGCCCAATCTGCATCAAACAATTGTTATTATATTCCTTCAATTCTTTATTCAGGAGTCCTGGGCCAATTCTAAAGAGCCCTCAGAACAATTTCATTACCAATTTTACATTTGCAGCGATCCCTAGTAAGGCTGATACATGTTTACAAAAAAGATAAGCCAATAAAGTAAACATTGATAATTTTTTTATTAATTGGCCAGTGATACACAATACTACCTTAACATAAAGTGCGTGTGTGTTTTTATTATCACTATCATTTTTAACGTCTCTAAATTTACGGAGAAACCGTTTGACTTTGAAGTTGCAAGCGGTTAAAAATATTTTAATGAATACAATCAAAGTTCAGGCTTTGCTGTATAATTACCCTAACCCTAAAACAGTATTCTTTAAAAAAGATAGACCCCGACCCAGACCCACGACGTGATGAGACCACTGGTTTCCTTACGAAATGACGTCTGAGAAACGAGCGCAAAAATTCATACTGATGACGTGTCACTACCCCGATCTGGATAGTGCTTCTGATTGGTTTAAGCAAATTTTCCTCGCGGTATGACTAACCAGAAGCTCCACCCAGATCGGGGGAGTGACGTTTCATCAGTATGGAATTTCTGCGCTCGTTTCTCGAATGTCAGTTCGCGAGGAAACCATATTGATGGCGTTACGAAAGGTCGGCTGTTTTGTCAGGCTAATTTTATTTGCATCTGTAAGTTTTCACAGGAGGGGAGAAGTTACAATGAAGCGAATCGTCTTGATTTGCTATGGATTATTCGTTACTATGACTTTAATGTCAAATGCATTGTTTGTCTCCTGGGACAAAAACGCCAATTTGACCAAAGATGACATTTTTATTGCTTTTCGGCAAATTTACGTGCCTAAAGTATTTGGTTCGGTGACCCCAGCCTTCAGAAATCTCACCTCACATTCACTGGATGAAAGATGCAGCAAGGGGATGGCTCTCTCAATATCATGGAGCTTGCATGAGCCCTATTCAGGAGTCCTAGGTCCAAAAATTGGCAAGCAGCTTGGTTTTGCTGCACGCGGGATATTTCCAAGTGAGTATGAACCCTATCAAACAAAAAATTCTAATTTGTAGCTTTTTCCAGGCGTTCAGATGGTGGTGTGCAGCGCAAAGCCAGAGAGCGGGGAAAAAATAAGATGGAAGAGAGGGGAGGGAAGCCCCCCAGTCCCCCCCTCTCTGTTTTTCCATCCACATATCTTTGTGCCGTCCCCCAATCTAAACGCCTGGAACAGACTGTCTAATTTGTGGATTTTGACACCAGATTTTCATGTAAGACCCTGGAAAAACTACGCCATTTCTAATGTTTAAGAGTATGAAAAAAGAAAACAGAAAAGAGAAAGATGAAATTTCAGTTTGTGATATAACGTGGTGTGGGACAATTGGGAAAGTAACAATCATTTTCACGGCAAACGGCAAACGTCACTTTGTACCACGTGACCAAACTTTTTCCCTTTACTTCAGTATAGTCTATTATTTATTGTATATTTAGTCTGAATAAGTAGTTTTATATCAGGCTCATCCATAAGGAATCATTTCGCACGGTTTTGACAGCTCACGGCTAATGTTAGCCATCAATAACCCGAAATTTGACGTTTAGTTTTCAGGGGATCAGTTACTCTGGGTGCCAGAGGTATTTTTCTTGCGTGCAGTTGTCGACAGCAGGTCAAATACCTTCTGCCGAAGCCACGAGCCTTGACCCGCGATATAAAAAAAAATTTAACCCGGCTTGACCGACCTAAACCGGTAACCGCGCATGAAAAGTATTTTTTCACCCAAGCCCAGAATACCGGACAGGGGAATTCCATTCGTAGCCTGCCAACGAAGACGTATTTCCAGTTGCCGCTTGTCTCCACCGGAAATAGTCTACGTTCGCGCAGGCTACAATTATACCAAAAACAACTCATAGTGCAGTCACCCAATGTTCGAGCGTTACCTTTCACTACATTTTTCTCTCTATTAACAGATGTCGTTCAACAGATCGTTCGATATTGCTGCAATAAAAGTGAAATTGTCTATGGAAGATTCCTTAAAAGTATTCGGGAAGCAGAAGATCACTTTTCAGAACAGATGTACGACTTTACATTCCCCGTGTACGTATCAAAAATGGATAAAGATCTCTATAAAGATCAACCGTTCGTTACCGTGGTAGCAGCACCGCGAGTCATGCTTCTCGTGTATGACAGTCCTCAGGTAACGTGAAATACAGTAAACCTTCTTTAGCACGGACTGCGTTAGCAACGACACAAGGGAGGGGGGCTTACCATTAGACATAACTGGGGGTCCGGAACAGCCCATTCGTAAAGAGGATTCCACTATTTACAGCGGAACTGTCCATTCGGAGCAGTCTTTTTCTAAATACTATGAACAGCAGGGTTGGATTTTTAGCGAAGACTCTCGAAAAAAGCCTGTTTCGTTTTCCAGATGAAAATCCTGGCCGGCCAGTTTCGACTTTGGGTAAAACCAAAAGCGCTCTAAGTGTCCGTCTTAGAGAGGTTTCCCCCTACAGAGCCTAAGTCAAGGAAAACGACTGAGAAAAGGTAAAAACAAACTCAAAGTGACCGTTTTATGTCCGCTAAAAGGGAGTTGACTAGTGGTAAATCAGTGAATGCCATTTGTAAGTTAGACAAAGGTCTTTTAAATAATGAGAAGGAAGAGTTTCAGGTTTTAAGAGGTTGTTTTCATTTTTCAAGGGGCAGTAACTGATTTATTGTCGAAGCATATTATTAATTATAACCCTTTCATGGCCGCTCATGATAAAGGACATTGCAAAACAGATTAGCACCTGTTGAGGCTGACGCGGCAAGGCCTGACCTGAGAACGAAACTGACAACATCTACCCCTCTCGGCGACGCTTACGAGGCACCAGGGGCGTAGCTAGGGGGGTCCTGCGGTGCCCGTGACCCCCCCTTGGTAGGCCTTCCTTTGAGCAAACAACCTACAATATTCAGGTGGCGAAAACACCATGACAATATCTTGGCCGTAAAAGCCATTGTTGAAAAGCCCACTTTTTTAAAATTTGTTTTTTTGTAAAGTATTTTCGTCAACGGCTCTTGTCTTTAGTTAATATGGGCGTGGAGGTCGACATGACAATCTGGTGAGTAGCCTCTGTGACCCCCCCCTTTGAAAAATCCTGGCTACGCCCCTGCGCACGCAAGCTAAATCCTCTCCATCCAATATTTAGATTAGCTTGGTTATTCCTACTGGCATTTAGGAACGCCCATCAAGTCTGCAAATAGAGCCTTTGTAGTTACCTACTAAATCGTACTGAAATAAGAGTTGTTAAAAATAAAAGGAAATGGGCACAAGGACCGAGTCTAAAAGAATTGAACCTTCTTGTTCCACAGAAAACAAGGACGCAAAATCTTGCTGATACGATATTTAATGCCTGGCCATTCTTGATATTTATACTGGCTGCCGCGGGAGCATCTGGGATGTCGGTCTGGTTATTGGTATGATGGAATTATACTGGACTAGATTATTTTGAAATAGAAAGTCATAAAAATATAAGTCATTTAGAATCAATAATTTCTTTCGGTCCGCTTAAGATAGTGAAAATGACTTTGAGAAGGAGAAATAGTTATCACTGGACCGGAATATGATGACAGAAGAACAAAAATTACTTCTGATTCTTTTTTAGAAAGATGGAAAAATCATAGTAACCAAAGGAAGGGATCAGAGGCCAAAATCAAAACTAAATCCACGTATGGATAGCTCAAAATGCCTTTGTTGAGGTCTCGATTGGATTTTGGAAAGTTCAGTAGCTCAAAAGCCGAGTAGTAAAGTAATAATAAAGCTAAAATAGTTGCGAAAGAACCTTAGAATGTCACGGCGCTAAATTAAATGCATGGTAATCAGTTTTCAATTGATTTGTTTCCTCGTAGGAATATGTCTTCTTCTCGTCAGAATTTTCCACCACATTCGTCCATGGAGCCTGGGACGGGTTTTGGTGGGCTGTTGTTACCATGACAACTGTCGGGTAAGTGATGTGATTCCCTGCCGATTTCTTTAATTCTTGTTGCATATTTCCACATTTGTCTATTCTCTCTCCCCGGCCAAATTACAACGCGTTTCCTCAAAGATTTCCTTACATATTTTAGAAGGGGCGTATGGATCAAATTTCCAATACTTTTTCTCTAGCTGTGCAGCACACTTTTGCCTCTACCAATGAACAACCGGACGACAATGATACGTCCATAAAGCAAGCGAAGAAAGTGTCCCACAAAAGCGCAGAATTTTAACAGACGTTTGTATGGGGCAGTTCGTGCAACTCAACAATACAAACGCCTGAAAAATTCCGCGACTCTTGAAAGTTATATCTTCGTTTTAATTAGTTTTTAACAAATCACTTTCAAACTTGAGACATTTACTGATTTTAAGGCGCTCCTTCCAGCCGTGTTCACGGATTTTCGTTAACTGTTTCCAGACAAAAGTTGAAAAAATCGTGTAAGGGTCTATTGCTGCAGTAAGTCATAAGTCATTCCTGGTAAACTACAATTTATATCCATTTTCACAATCTATGTTACTATTTTTACTCCCTAAGGTTTGGGAGTAAAAGTCTGGTAACTTTCTCTCACTGTCTGTTCTCTGGTACATGACAACCATCGAATACGACCTTCCTATGAAGTCTGCGTTTGCATCTAAGTCAACTCAAACCGACTAAAATGACCATACAATTACTATGATGTCTCGGACCCAAAGCCCTCTGCTTTTCAACTTTTCAACTTTCAACTTTAACTTTATTTAAATTCGGAAATATAACAAAAGATACATTGGGACAAAGACAATGAGCTATCTGAAATCTTTGTGCCCCCCTAGTTTCCAAGGGCTTGCTTCGGCCCTGATTTGAAACACCTTAATTTTGCTTCTCACCACTATTAAACAATTTTATAAAAATTTCGTCCTTTATTAGGTATGGTGACAGATCACCGAAATCTTTACCTGGGCGCCTCTTCTGTTTTATTTGGATAATCACTGGTATAAACATCATATCGATATTTACTGCGTTGGTAACCGCTACAGTGACGGCATCGACTCGACCTTACTTTAATATTCATGGAGCAAAGGTAGTTTGAGTTCATCTTCCACCAACTTTTCTTTTGTTTAGGGCAATATAACACCAATCCAAAGTTAATTCCCATAGTAACTCAAAGGCCGGATTAAACCTAAGGCTTTCAGCAACTTGTTCCAGGTCAACAGCTATCAGAGCTATAGATACTAGTGGATCTCTTTATTTTATGCTTATCAAGTACAAAGAATAAGATCAAACTCTACTGCTTTGCGTATCATCCTTTGCAGGTCGGGGCAGTTAATGGAAGCGAGGAGTTTCGTCTGGGTGTTAGCATCAACTTCGACATGAAAGGTACCACTTTACGGCTATGTTATGGTTTTTTTTTTTTTTGGCGAACATATATTGCTCTGCCATTATGGCTCTTGAGTGCACTTACTGAATCTGGAAAGGAAATGACATGCACATCACTGTTCCTGGATCAATTAATCAATTAACTAGTGACTTGAATGAATGATTGATGTAGGTCTGGAGCGAGGGTGAAAACAGAGAGTGAGACAAGAATCTTATGCCCAAGCTTCGTGCCTTGAAAAATAGATTTTGAGGGGAAAAAAGAACCGACTGTTTTGTAGTTAGGTGTTTAATGAGCTGTCCGTGAAAAAACTCAATCCCTACGCCTCGGCAAAACTATTCAATTTAACCATTACTATTTCCTTTGGTTTTCACTGAGATTCTGGGGAAACAAAATTCACTGTTTCCCTCGGACCAGTCATTGTAGGGGTTATATCACGGCTGGCGTCCGGGGATGAATTGTTAATTTTGTAAATATATAATACCAATTACACTCCCTTATTCACTATGAAAATTGGAAATTGTTTGTGAATGAGAAAATCGCAGCTTCGCATCACACAATTGTCTCCCTGCGTTATATCAAATGTTACAAAGAACTAATTTAAAGTGAATTTTGAAAAATGTTAGGGTAGCAAGTTTTCAAAACCACAACTGCAATCCGTTTCTTTCTTCTTCAACTTTGTCCATCTGTGCTTCCTTTTGTATTTACTACGTGTATGTTTTTTTATACCTTCTTTTAACGTTTTGAACTGTAATTGCGGAATATTTCACCCAACTTGGTGGCAGTTACAACTATTGAATTTTGATAAATTTCCAGACACAGCTCCTTTAAGTTTTAAGTGTTTTACCTCTGTTAACAGCATTTGACACCCCTGCAAAAATGACCACAGCACTGATGGCTCAGGAGGTGGACGGAATTCTGATTGACAACTACGCATTGACAAGGTTTTCTAATTGGATGGAGAAGGAACCAATTCGTGTGGAGCGCACTATTGAACATCCAATAACATACGGCCTAGTACTGCCCACAGGGTCACCAATCACTACACAGTGCGTGCGACGATACATGACAAACTTCGACCATGAAATCTTTGACAATAT